GTTGGATAACTGGGCCGTTGCCCAATCCAAGTTTGTCAAGGTCTTCCCGTATGAGTACCAGAAGGCTCTGAAGGATATGGCCGAACAGGAAGCAGTAGAGCAGCCCCTAAAGTCCGCCATTGAAAACGGAAATGGAAAGCATGAACCACACATCAAGGATATCGAGGAAGCCATCCAGGATGTGGTGCTGGAGCAGAAGCGTGCCGATCGCGTGCTGGACAAGACCCGTGGCTTTGTAAAGTACAAGAGGGAATCCGCACCCTATCGAGATGCTGGAGAGCGTCAAAAGGATTGGGATGAGGTCTACAACTTCCCGCACGTGCGCAAGAACCTAAAAGTCCAAGCAGCCCGCTGCATGGAGTGCGGTGTTCCCTTCTGTCAATCTAACTCCACAGGTTGTCCACTGGGCAACATCATTCCCAAGTGGAACGACCTCGTTTTCCACGGCGAGTGGCAGGAGGCTTTGCGTCAACTGTTGCAGACCAACAACTTCCCAGAGTTTACTGGTAGAGTGTGTCCCGCTCCCTGCGAGGGATCCTGCGTGTTGGGCATCTCGGAGCCGGCGGTCACTATCAAGAACATCGAATGCGCCATCATTGACCATGCCTTCGAGCAGGGTTGGATCAAGCCAGAGATTCCAGAAGTACGTACTGGCAAAAGGGTAGCCATTGTGGGTTCTGGACCTTCTGGTTTGGCCGCTTCTCAGCAGCTGAACCGCGCCGGTCACTTTGTCACCGTCTTTGAGCGCAACGATCGCGTTGGTGGACTCCTCCAGTACGGCATTCCAACGATGAAGCTTTCCAAGGAGGTTGTAAAGCGACGGGTGGACCTGATGGCCGATGAGGGCATCGAGTTCCGCACCAATGTCCATGTGGGCAAGGACCTGAAGGCCGAGCAGCTTCTGCAGGAGTAAGTATCATTATTTATAAAATTTATTTCGAAGTTTTACTTATTAAAACGAAATTGATACTTTCAGGTACGATGCCGTCCTCCTGACAACAGGATCCACATGGCCACGTGACTTGCCGCTGGCCAACCGTGACCTAAAGGGCATCCACTTCGCAATGGAGTTCCTGGAGGCGCAACAAAAGAAGCAGCTGGGTGGCAAGAACGATATAATCTCTGCCGCCGGCAAGGATGTGATCATCATCGGCGGTGGCGACACTGGATGTGATTGCATTGCCACTTCGCTGCGACAGGGTGCGAAGAGCATCACAACCTTCGAGATCCTGCCGGAACCACCACAGAAGCGTGCCGAGGACAACCCCTGGCCACAGTGGCCCAAGGTCTTCCGCGTCGACTATGGACACGAGGAGGTAAAACTCAAGTGGGGCAAGGATCCGCGACAGTACTGCACCACCACCAAGGAGTTTGTGGGCGAGAATGGTGCCATCAAGGGCGTAAACACCGTCGAAGTTGAGTGGACCAAGACGGAGACTGGCCAGTGGCGCATGCAAGAGGTAGCCGGATCGGAGAAGTACTTCCCCGCCGACCTAATATTGCTGGCCATGGGCTTCCTGGGACCCGAGAAGACGGTGCCCGGTGAACTCGGCCTAGATCTAGACCCCCGCGGTAACATCAAAGCAACCAACGGACAGTATGGCACCTCCAACTCCAAGGTCTTTGCGGCAGGCGGTAAGTTTTTTGTTTTATATTATAAGATCTTTACTATATTGATACTGAACTTATGAATACTTTTCAACTTATACTTATGAAATAAGAATAGAAACCAGAAATGCGGGAATTCATATGCTTAATGTAGTTCATTTTAATGCAATTTTAATTTAGTAACTTAAATACGTATTTTTGGAAACTTACAGATTGCCGCCGTGGCCAGTCTCTGGTCGTCTGGGCCATTACCGAAGGTCGCCAAGCCGCCCGCCAAGTGGATTCCTATCTGACTGGTCGTCCAAGTGGGCTGCCAGGACCTGGTGGCGTCATCGGGACATCCTAAACAGGATCTGCAGCGGCAGCCAGAGCAGCTAATATCAAGTTTTGTGTGCGTGCATCGTCCTTAGCCTATAGAGCGAAATTCTTTACCGATTTGTGATTTTTATTTTCGCGATTTTAGTTTAGTTTACACTAAAAAAGACTTGAGTTTTTTACACACCAAACCAAAACCAAAACGAAACACGTTTCATTTAGTTTTATTTTCATCGCAAAGCTGGCTGGGAATTGTTTGTGGTACATCGAGATGCCCTCCACAGGTGATGATAATGCTGCGGCAGGAGTCAATTAAGAGTGCAAAATTAAATGCTGATTGAAGTGAATCGAATACTTATATATCTTAGAGGAAATCGAATATCCAACAAAAAGATTTAAGGACAATAACTAGAAATTTACCGTTATCGTTAAACAAAACAAATTAATTGAACATAAAATATTTAGAAAATGCATTTTTTTCAATGTTGTTCAGCTTATGTTGCCTGTTCTTTGCAAAAACAAAAAACAATATATGAAGTGAAAAAAATTGATATGCTGATCTCCACCCTCCTATATACAATCTACCTATAGATCGTAGATACGACAGAGAAATGTATTAAACTCGGCCAATATCGAAACGCATTTTTTTAGATGTTGTTTGTGTGTTTTGAACTACATTCGACCGTTAACCGCAGAAGTACCTAAGTGGCTATTGTTAAAACAAATGTGCTCTTTGGCAGTTATATGTATGAATACAAAAAAAAATACACTATTTATACAAACAAATATTTAACCCAACTGTATACCCTTATACATACATCTCTATATGAATATATTTATGTGCAAGCATTTGATGAAATAAATATTCAAACTATTACAAGGCATTTACTTTACTTAACTACTTTGAATAATTGGGATATTTATAAAATAAACTTTGTTAAAAGATATTGTAATTCATTTTGTTTAATTTTTTGTAACTACTTATATATTTTTATTTTTATAATAGCAAAATTTTAAATACAAAAACAAAACGAATTAGGAAGCACTTAAACGTTTAAAAAAAAATGAATATATTATAATCATTTTAAATTTTAACTTGCCAATGGTATTTATACACACACTTTTGCCATGTTTTAAAATAATTTAAAACTGAGAATATTACAAAATAATTAGGGGGAATATATGTCGTCATCCGTTTGTTGTAATTTTATAATCTATTTTTAAAATATCTCGTATTTTTATTTTAAATAAACGCGCCATTATTGGATTTTAACAAAAATACTATTTTCAGTTTTGTAGTATTCGTTTGGCTTTTGCGCACTTCCATCCCTTGGCAACACTAAACGGGCGTCATTCTTTTCGCCCCTGGGCACACTGTTTGCCTTTCGCACGCGTATTTTTCTGCCGATTTTGCGTGTAAATTTCATTGTGAAAACGTAATAAAACAGCAGCAATCATGGCTAATTTCGACCTGACCCGCATCAACTGTCAATATCTGGACAGGCATTTGACCTTCCCGCTGCTGGAGTTCTTGTGCGGCAAGGAGGTTAGAAAACCGACCAGGCGGTGCTCCGCCAGCGCTTTGCCGTGTCACCAGTACATAACTATGGGTAATCTACATATATTTGACTTCCGTTTCAGATCTACAACCAGCAGGAGTTGCTGGAGTACATCCTAGAGACGGTTAACAAGACGAACATGATTGATTACACGATGGACACCCGCAAGCGTCTTAATCTTAGCCAGGAGATGCCTGAGGAACTGGTGCAACGCAAGGCAGAGGTCCTGGCCACCCTTAAGCAGCTCCAGAACGAGGTGGCACCCATCATGAAGGCTACCGACATTCTCAAGAACGGCGAGAGCATGAAGGATTCAAAAACCTTCGTCAACGCCCTACAGAAGGACTACAATTTCAAGGTGGAACACTTGGAGAGCGCCTATAAGCTAGCCAAGTACCTCTACGAGTGCGGTAACTATCAAGAGTCCACCTCGTACCTGTACTTCTGCCTGATCGTCATGTCCCCCAACGACAAGGTGCGTATAAATCTTTCTTAGCGGAAAAAAGGGGTCTGATCCTCTATTCGGCATTTCAGCTTAACCGCTTGAGATATTCATTATTTTATTTATCCTTAAACTTGTCTTCCTAACCACATAGAACTACCTGAATGTGCTGTGGGGCAAACTGGCTGCTGAGATCCTGACCCTCAACTGGAACACCGCTCTGGAGGATCTGACTCGTCTGCGCGACTACATCGACAGCGCCAACTTCAGCACCATTCAGGCCCTGCAGCAGCGCACCTGGTTGATCCACTGGTCAGTACTGGTCTTCTTCAACCACCCCAAGGGACGTGATCTCATTATTGAGATGTTCCTGTACAAGCCACTGTATTTGAACGCTATCCAGACGATGTGCCCACACATCATGCGTTATTTGGCCACCGCCGTTGTGATCAACAGAACTCGCCGCAACGCTCTGAAGGATTTGATCAAGGTGATCCAGCAGGAGTCATACACTTACCGCGATCCCATCACCGAGTTCTTGGAGTGCCTGTACGTGAACTTTGACTTCGAGGGAGCGCGTCTGAAGTTGCACGAGTGCCAGACTGTGATCCTTAACGACTTCTTCATCGTAGCCTGTCTTAATGAGTTCGTGGAGGATGCTCGTTTGATGATCTTCGAGACATTCTGCCGCATTCACCAGTGCATCACCATTAGCATGCTGGCCGATAAGCTGAACATGAAGCCCAATGAGGCGGAGTGCTGGATTGTCAACCTCATCCGTAATGCCCGGCTTAATGCCAAGATCGATTCCAAACTGGGCCATGTGGTGATGGGCACCCAGCCGCTGAGTCCCTACCAGCAGCTGGTGGAGAAGATCGACTCGCTGTCCATGCGGTCGGAGCATTTGGCCGGTTTGATTGAGCGCAAGAGCAAGCAGAAGCAGAATCAGGAATCTGTCGACTCCTGGAAGTACTACTAAATTGCTGACTTTTTATCCACAATTAAGTTAAGACACTTTGTACCCTTTAAACACCGATGATTGCGCGCAGTCGAGCGAATAAACCAACATCATATCCTTTCGCTCAATTCAACATTTGATTTTATTTCCTTTGGAATTTGAGTTATACAAAAAACAATACCAAGGCGGGAATTTGTAATTTCTCTAGCCTACAGAATGCAAACGTCTCCTAATCCTAGAATTAGTTGCTTGTACCTACAAGTCGGTGCTGGATCTGAATGAGTATCTGGCGCCGGATCACACTATTGATTGCTACCGCGACTTCTGCTTCACCACCAGCCAGGATCGCACGGGCAGGTCCTGCAGATATACGATCCATTTACGCACCAGCATCAGCCACACGATGCCGTACAGGACGCAAATTCCCGACTCCAAATAGTAGCCATCGAAGGTAATCTCGCACTTGCCCGACGACGCTTCACAGCTCTGTAGGAAGAATAAAGAAACAGGTTATTAGCACAAACATTATTTTAAAATCAGAGCTGAAATGAAAAATCTTTTATTCTTGGAAAAAAAGTGTGGAGAACTCTGGGGAAGTTTAAAGATATGTTATCTATACTCTTTAGAGGAAAATGTGCGCTACAGCTCGAAGTCTTTTTTAACTTTGAATATAAATTTATTTCTAAAAAAACTAACTTACAAATTAAATTATTTAAATATTTAAATATGATAATCTTCCAAGTCACTCACCTGTTGCTCCTCCTTGCCCTGGCAGGTGTTCTCCGCATTACTGGAGCACTGCTTCCAGGTCAGCACATCCACTAACCACAGAACCACAGTGTTGGGCCAATTTCCGCCCAGATTGCACAAAGTGTTAAGGAATGTCATGTAAGTGCCACCCACAGCGGGGTCGGAGATCTTGGCAAAGAAGGCCATGGCGGCAACGAACATGGAGTACAGGAATATTTGGTAGATGGCATAACTAGTGATCAGCAGGACGTAGTAATAAACAGGCACGACTCCTCCACGAATTATGTAGGGTGTGATATAAGCTAAGCCAGTGGCTACCGTGGCCATAATAATGCGATAGGGAATGGCCTTTAGATAAATGTCCATGGGACGTGGTCCGTTCGTATAGCGACCTACCGCCAGCGGCAGGATGAGCTGCAGTGGAATAAGGGGAATAGCCAACAAAGCCAGCTTATCCTTGGGCACTCCAGCATCAATTAACTTCAAGCTGGTCACAGCATCTGAGGCAGCAAACGTGACCTTTACGGTGAGCAGGATAACAGCTAGGATCTGGACAGGACGCATGCGTACCATGTCCCACAGGATCTTGTAACTCTCATGGATGTTTAACTCGTGCTCCTCGGTGTAGCGTGCGTCCATGTGTGCATCCTCAATGTCGTTTTCTTTCTTAAAAATAGCCACCAAGGTGGTAGCCACAACGAAAGTGATTCCCCAGAACCAAAGAAAGCGCGGCAGCGTGATCATGCCCTCCTCCAGAGGCACATCTCTCAGATAAGTGTTACAGAAATCCTTGGACTCCAGGGCAATGAACACAACATAGCCCAGGAAATAGCCAGCTGTTTGGCCCACACTATTGCAAGTGGAGGCATATCCAACATTGCATCGTTTAAGCATGGTCAAGGCCCAGCCATCCACAGCAATATCCTGGGTGGCGGCTAGGAAGTTGAGCAGGAAGAATAGCAACGTCAGCAGTGGGACATTTGGATCCACACCATTTCCCCCCAACCAACGATCTACGTGGAGGGAAAGAAGCAACATGAATGCGCCTAGAAGGTACTGCACTGGGACCAGCCAAGATTTCCGGCGGCCAAATCTTCGGATGTACAGGGAGTCCACAATAGGAGCCCACAAAAGCTTCAGACTGAACGGCCAGTAGGCAAAGGAGAACTCCGCCTGCTGCTTGTAGCTGGCTCCCCGATTTTGAAGCAACATGGGAATGGCTGCTATAAGTCCAATGGGTATACCCTGCAGTACATACAGAAACAGCAGTATGGCTATATTCCTTCGGTCTCCACGAATGTCCGGTTTTTGGTGTTCCACCTCCTTCTCTGGTTTTGGGTGCTCTGCAATGAGCAACTCCTGGTCGGCATTGCTGCCCGTTGGCTTCCTCCTTATGGCGGACATTCTATTTATACAATGAAGAATGTATTATTTTGATATGCCTTCTTGGAGGCCACCGGCTCACCTGTTTTTCTAATCACCAACAAATAACAACAAATGTCCCAGGTCCACGTCACTCAAATGCCGAGCTTTTTCTCAATTTCCTAATAATATCACTTGGTTTGTCTTTAATTTCATTTGATATATAACTGAACTGGTTAGAAATCTCCGCCTCTTTTACTTTTAACTAAATCATATTCCTACTAATCGAAATATTTTCTTTCGTGGCATATGTTTGTTGACGTTCCAATATTTTTTTTATAGCGACTCGACTCCGCAGTACATATGCAGTTGCTATAAACAGCGGCTATGGTCACACTTATCACTTGAAATTTAAACGTGGAGGCGGGAGGCTTATGAAATTATAATCCATACTGGGAGTGTGAGTTGCAAGGTTATTTTAGCTTTACTTTGATAAGCCAAGCTGTAAAGTATGTATGTATAAATTATGTACGTAGAAGCTAAATTTAACATTGCGAAATGAAATATGTAATTTTGTTTCTATACTAAATATCAACATTTTAATGAAGGGTGTTTTATAATCATTTTTTGTATTTAATTTGATGGAAATATTTAAATGTTCGGTTTTTTTCTTATTCGTTTTTTATTTTGATGTATTCAGCTGCGAAAAGTACTTGAATCGACTCTGATAAGATTCTTCGCGATTGTTGGAAATTGTAACCAAAACTACACATACGGGTAAAATAATATTTTTATAGACGAATAACTTTTCAAATATTTAATTGATTGTAAACTTTTTTGTACAACCTGTGTTAATCCTAAAAAATATATTACACCTGTCTAATATTTAAGGAATTCATTTAAATAAAATAATATGGGCATCAATAAAAAAAATTTTTAAACCATATTTTTGAATTTTTCAGCATGACTCATATTTATGTTTCCGGCACTGTATTTACAAAAATAAACCCATCAGCCTGTAGTTAATATACAACTCCCACACCACTCCATAAAAGAATCACCGACATGATTGTTTTGCAGCTTTTGTTTTAATAATAAATTGAATTACTGAGAGCATTTTACTTGTTTGCTTGGCGAACACATTCAGATGTTTCGTTATAATTAAAAGTAATTACTGATACAGGCTCCACCGCAACGGGGTCGCAGCGCCACTGGCTTTTCGAATAACAATTTCAATTTCCAAATACATACGTTTTTCAATAATAATAATATACTCGAAACTGGTTTCGATTGCTCTTCGCTCTTCCAGAGGAAAAGGCAATGTTTGTGACTGTTTTGTTTGACTTTCATAGCTTAGCTTAAATTCTAATTAAGTGTTCAATTGAAACTCTGGAGATGCTGCTGCTCGCTGGATGGATGGCAGGCCTGTTGTTCTCTATTCTATTACGTTCCGGTATGGTTTCGGTTTCGGCTGTTTTTCCTGGCTGCTTCGTTTGCTATGCTTTCATTTACTTTCATGGTTATTGTTCTGTTCGGGTTTCCATTTCGCTCATCTCGGGTGGCGTGCTCTAGCTCAATTAAATTTCTTGGAAGGCCATTTAGCTTTTAACTGCTCATTTTTCCGCTCCCGCACTCCGTATCCTGGACTTGCTCCCCATGGTTTTACTTGGCAGGAGAGGAGCCGCCAAAGAATGGCTCCTCCCACTTGTGGTGCACCTCAGGCGTCAGGTTGCTAATCTGCACGTGCACCGCCTGGTGCTTTTCATACTTGGGCGGAATGGCGCACAGTCGGTATTTGACCTCGTCCCCGGGCATGGGCACATATTCACCTTCGATGCTGGGGAAATGATTATATTTTTGTATGCTTTAAAGAGCCCAGCTCAAAGGTTGCGCATGCATTATTTATCCACTTACTCAGAAACGTGGCAGAAAACGTCCTCTCCGCCGGCATGGGGTGTAATGAAGCCGTGTCCTTTGGTGCGGCTGAAGGATTTCACAATGCCGGTCACAACCGGATTTTCCAAGGCCCGAGCGGAACTGTTTTTTTTTTTGAGTTTGCGCGTGTTTATATTTTGGCAGCGTTTAGAAAAAGGAAAAAGCGGGAAGAGACAATTAAATCAATGGCAGATGAAGGGACATGGGCGGATGTCACAATTAAGTACGGGGATTATATTCCAAAGGGTTACCCGAGGATTTATAATTTTAAAAGGACTTTATACCTAAATCTACATATTAAATGTAAAAGCATAAAATTAAACTAGCATAGAGTTTTCCTAAACTCTCATGTTTTGGCTGCTTTTCTTAAAAAAATCAAATATCTTTCTATCGTAAGAAGGAATGTTTAAAACATTAAATGAAAATCTTTAAATTATTGAAGTGGTAAGTTTTCACTAATTGCAATTTTAGAATGTTCTTGAATATTTAATAATTATTCCGGAAGCTATAATAATCCTTTAATTTTCTTTAAAGCATGCTCAGTAATAGAAATAAATAAATAAACGTGTTTTATAAATATTTTTTTAAATCCCAGAAACGTCTTACTTTAATTTAAAAAAAAAAAAAACTAAAAAGTTGTAGAAATAACCAGCAATCATTCCAATTTGCATTTATGGTGTTAATTTGGCCCCCGGAACCCCCTATGTAAAGCTTCTCGGCTAATGGCCAAAGTTGTTTTAGGGGTCAATAGGGTGGCTGGGTTGCTAGTGGGTGGTTTGGTGATTGAGCAGGAGGACTTACGTCGAGGCCGTGCGAGTGCGCCTTGTTATAATGGGACTGGGCAGCTGCAGCGAGGCATTGGGGCTATGGCTGTTGTGGTGGAACACCGGCGGCTTGGCGGTCAGCAGCTTCTCGGGCGTCCTTGGCTCGGCCATGGCTTTCTTCTTTTCGTTTACTTTCTGAGTTCTACGTTCTTCCCGCTTTTCCTTTCCTCTCTTCTCTTCAGTTAGTAGAAGCGGCTTGCGTTTGTATATAATATATATATATATATATATATGCGTTTATATATATGGGTGAGTGGACGGCAGCCAAGTCTGTCGAGTTCAAGGCCACGGGGGGCGGGTTAGTCAGCCAGCAAATTGCGTTGCGCTTATTTCCCCTGTAGTTCACCAGCTTACCTTAAACTTCACGTGCTATTATTTAGCACCTCTTGAATATTAACAGCCCAAAATTGTAGATTCTTGGCTTGGCTTTTTTAGGAGACACTCGCACACTGATGCAATTTATTGCCGCTATGAGAAATGCCGGTTGCTTAAGTTGTGTTATCACCCTTTACTCAACTTTATCGTATGCCTTTTATGCACTTTGGAATCTGACGATTTTTTTCAGTTTTTACGTTTGGTATTATCCCGGTTTTATGCGCGCTTTCAAAAGATTTTACTTTTTCAACGAATGGCGGCGGAGGCGTCAAGTCAGATTTAGAGTGACCGTTCCAATTTTGCCAAGAACACCTAAAAGCTGTTATCGCTTAGCTTTATTGGTAATCGATGTTTATAGCAACTTAAAAAATTAAAATAATACAATACAATATTAATATTTGTTAAATTTGTAAAAAAAATTTCTTCTTTAATATCTTGGATTAATCGGTGGGGAAAATGATGCATTTTGTTATCTGTTGAACACGAGACATTCTAAGACATAATATCAGTTATAATCTTATGAATTCAAATAATTTATATTCCAATTAAATGTTAAACATAAATATTCGTATCTATACGTCAGAAACATAACGAGTTATAATAGGTATTGTAGTCATTACTTAAAGTAATACTGAATTCTGCAACGGACAACCAATGCATTTATTTGTCAAACCCACATTTGAACTTTATTTCAAATTATTGTTAGGAAAAGTAATATATAAAATATATGTATATAATTATAAGAAAACATGATTAACAAAACAACTTGCTCATGTCTAAACAGGATCCGATAGTTTTATCAGTTTTGCCCATCACTACCTATACACGCTCATACCACCATCTCCAAGTTTGTCCATCTCTAAATTAAAAGACGCTAATATTTGTCTTAAAAATGATCAACAACTAATTAAAACCCTTATTTTTCCTACTAGAATTTCTTAATTCCCATCATATATGAGTGATACGGGGAGCGACGGAGACGCAGATGTCGAGGGCGTCGTGGATCCGGAAATTTACTCATCGGACAGCAGGGAATCCGATCAGCCCGTTGCACACAGGCAAAACTGGCAGCGGATTATGACTCAGAATCCTGACTTTGATCCTGACATTGTGCTACAAGAAATGGAGGGAGAATACGAAGCTCTTGATGCGGAAGTTAATGCAGATAATGTCTCTACAGCAGAGGAAAATGCGGAGCCAATTAGAGATCAGCCTGTGGATGTGCCGATTGAGAACCAAATGCATGATCAGAACCAAGAACCAAATCTCAATCAAGAACCTCAAGACCAGGCTGATCAGAACCTGGAACCCGACCAGGCAGACCAACCGCAGAACAGAATTCCTGAAGTAGCTTTTATAGACCCTCCACCTGTGCCTACACCGCCTACTACTTCCCGCCGAAACCAAGGTCAAGAGACAGGGGTAATCTCATTGGACACACCATCACCGCCCAAAAAACGTAAACGGCTTTCCGCCGCTGCCGATAAAAGTCTGAAAAAATCACCCGAAAGCAAGCCCATAATTGCGGATGAAGAAGACGATGGTTTAACATGCCCTATTTGTCTAGATTGTTGGGAGATGAGTGGTGATCATCGATTGGTTTCACTGCGCTGTGGTCACCTCTTTGGAGAATCCTGCATACGCCGATGGTTAAACGAAAGCCAACGGCAATCGTCTGTAAAAGTGTGTCCCCAGTGCAAAACAAAGGCCACATTTAGAGACATCCGCCACCTGTACGCTAAGCGCATCCAAATGTTGGACACTGATATTAGGGAGCAACTGGAGGCTGAACGCCGTCGTACCCAGACCCTTACCACAGAGCTAGCAACCGCAAAGCTCGGCCAAACTCTAACCCTCGAGAAGTTAATGCTACTGCAGAAGGATAATGAACGGTTAAAAGAGCTGGTAAGGGCAGGTGGTAGTCGAGGAGCCTTTGGAGGTGATTCAGATGGTAGTCAGAAGAGCATTCACCAGCTGGCTTCACATCGTCTATATATGGAGAAGAACTTCGAGATCACCCGAGAGCCCGGCTGTCGAGTACTTCTTTATTCCGCCAAGCACTCCATATTAGTGGCCTCACAAAAGAGTGCCCAGAACTTGTTTCCCGGCTATGGAGTGCGCTTTATTGATCCGCCCAGCTTCAAGCCATTACACTTCCTACACACTTCGGCGCTATTGATCAGAGACATTGCATTTAGCGAATCCCAGCACTTGCTCACGGTGGCTAGTCGGGAGCCAAAGATAAAAATCTTTGATATAAGAACGCGACTTTGCTCGTCCATGTTCACAGCTCACGACAAGATGCTTTGGTCGTGTGCGCTGGACCGTAATGAGCGGGAGCACTTTTTATACGGCGGGGATCTGCGAGGATGTGTTTATATCTATGATTTGCGGTTTCCCGAGAACATACTCTGCGAGTTTCAAGCGGAAGGTAAGTCATATGACACTGTAAATATGGATCTATGTTTTCAAAAATTCGTTTTCCTTTTTAGATAACTTTAGTCCTGTGATACATATAGTTCCAGTTCCACCAAATAAGACTTTCACCAGCGGCGGTTTTCTTGTCTGTCAGCTGACGGCTCTCTCTTTTTATGAGTACGCTTCGGCCAGTGATACGGCTGTGCCCACTCGACTCAATGTGGAGGGACCCTTCTTGTCCATGCAGTACGATGCCGTGCAGGACACGGTGCTTATATCGGCCCGCTCGAATACAAATTCGCCGCAGTCCCGGTTTATACTTGGCCGACTGGACAAGATCGATGGTACGCCAGTGCTGAAAGAGATGGCCACCATCTATGGGTCAAAGGCCACGCCAATTATGACGCGACCGACCCAACTGGGCGTCGAGGATAATACACTGGTTGTAGGCTATCTTCAGGACAGCAAACAGCTTATGATGCACGATGTGCGGCGGGAGGAGCGAGTACAAACAATGCCCGTGAACGAAGTAATATACGATATCTGCCCTGTGGCCACGCAGGCCGGATCCTACTTGGCCGCCCTCACCGACAATAAATGTCGCGTCTACAAGGTTAACAGTTCCAAGCGATGAGCTTTGTGTGCATGTAGATTAATTTTCCATGAAAATGTCCAAAGAATTAAGTGCTTATTTTTAGTTGATTTCTATGAAATAGGTGACCCCTGAAAAGTTTAGTTTTTATTTTAAGTTTTTCATTATTTCCGTTTATTAAACATTTGTCAACCTTATGGTTTGCATACAATATTTCTCTGAACATAATTCTATATTGTGTACTCCATGTTCTGTTTTTGATTCCTGGTTTCAATTTTTGAATGCTCGAAGTCTGTTGTGGATAAGTCTTGTATAAAACAATAGAAAATGTTGGTTCGATTAATAATATACATATAAAGCTATACAAAAATGTGTTGTTATCCGTACAGTATTCGATTTACATATATGGGTAAATATAGTTACACCTAAGTGAATTGTGGAAATGATCGAATGATTAAATAGATGTCTAAATTCATTCCTGACAGTCTCGAAATGTTTTCAACATTTTTAGCTTTTGGAAAAATCCTATCGATCTTAAACTTTCAACGAGTTTTGAGCGGCACACGCAAGCTGTCCAGCTTTGGCAAAACCCAACTAAATCTTAATGAATTCGGTTTGCTTCTCTTGAGTCTTGAGTCTTGTAAAATTGTATCAAAAAAGTTTTATCGTTGGTCGTTTGCGGGTTTTCTTTTTTTGTTTCTATCTTTTTGGTAAATCAAAAACCTCTGTGGCATTTACACCTATGTATATAGTTGTATATGGTTTATAGTATAGCATATAGATTAGTGTGTTGGATAGTTGAAAGACGCAGATCTATACTTTTCAAGTATAATTTTGTATATTTTGTGATGTTTTATTTGTGTTTTTGCTGTTTTGTGTCTGTGTGTGTTTTTGTGTTCGTTAATGTTAAGATTAGAGAAATACGTATTCGTGTGAACAAACGTATGGAGTCATCATAACTTAAGACTTTCAACTTAAACTGAACGATAACTAAATATCCGTTACACATATCATTATATATATTTATATAAACACTAAATTAACTTAGGCTAAACTAAACTCGAAACGAAGTCGGAAAATTCTTAGGCATTGATTCGGTATTCGGTTCCTATTAAATTTAAAGCAACCGCAATATTTCACTCTATTGGAAGTTGAAATCCTACTTTTTATGTGGCTTTAAGCTTAATAGAAACGGACGCAGCAACCAAGCTGAATGAGATAATCGATTCCCAGGCGGATAAACAGGTGAGAAAGATTAGAAGAGAAGGGCTAGAATTTGGGATTTTGGTTCGCTTAATCGACGCGCGCATATCGCGGCACTATGTCCTTACTGATCCAGTAGTTGCATGGCGAGTAGTCCTCCTCAGGCTGGGCATCCTGGCCAACATTGATGACCCGACGGTCCTTGTCAAATGACTGCACCGTGCCATGGGACACATAGTAATAGAATAATTGCTGCATGGCAGATACGTAGCGACGCTGCTCCACAGTGTGCGGTTCATAGCGACCCAGAATGGCCTGGACATCGGCATCCACGGTGGCCAGCTGATCCGCTCCCTCGCCCTGGGTGACGACATAGAACGGCACCTTAGGCTGCTGTCTCGCAATCGTGAGCAGCGGGCAAACGCTTCGTATGTCCGAGATGATGGCAACCAGCGACGCATAGCTGCTGGCATTGTACTTTTCGATAACCTCCTCGGTGAGTCCCATTGCTCCAATCTGGGAGTTTTCTAGATAAGCTCGCACCTCGTCACGCGTCCAGTTTGTATGTAATTCGCGCAGTTTCTCGGTGTGGGCCTCATGGGCAGTGGCACCTATGACCAACATCGGTTCGTCGTTGGACTGTTCACGTTTCCAGGTATCTGAAGGATGTTCAAAGACTACATCTCCATCGAGAACCAACCACTCGTGACGGCTGCCGCTGGCATTCGCCTCCTGGGGCTGTGGCAGATCAACGGGGAAGTGCAACCAGGTGTCAGGAGTGGCGGCCCAAAGTCGTTCGCTGGATGCTTCACGTAGGCATTGAACATCCGCACATTCGAGGGTGGCCATCAGCTGGTCGTTGAGTTTGCTAGATTCGCTCAAGGGTTTTCCAGGCAGAATGGCTGATCCAGATGTGGCCCATGCCCTGGTGTAGAGACCCTTGACTTTCTGTGAGTTAACCAAAAGGGTCACGAGAGTGGCTCCAGCCCTGTGACCAAGCAAAGTGACGGACTTCGGGTCTCCGCCAAAGTGCACAATGTTCAGCTTGATCCAGTTCAACACGGCAATGATATCGGTAAGCCCATAGTTTCCAGACGTGGGAGGATGTGCCTCTTTGGTTAAAGCATCCAAAGCGAGGAAGCCAAAGACACCCAAACGGAAATTGGGACGCACAAAGATCACATCGTGCGATCGAGAGTAGCGAGCCGATGGACGGAGTATACCCGGCGAAGGACCAGCCAAAGATTCAGCGCCAATCAGCACTACCACTGGCAGGGGATTGCTGTACCGCACATGGGGAGTAACAACATCCAGATAGAGGCAGTCCTCGTCGCCCACGGTGGTGCCATTGCCCAATCGCTGTGTGCACACCACACTGCTGTTGTGCGTTTGCAGAGTATCATTCCAACACATATTGATGTCATCGATCAATTCGGCCGGTTTCCATCTCAGCCTGTCCACAGGTGGCTTCGCATAGGGAATACCACGGAAGGCGAAAGCTCCATCCTCTTTTACACCCTCTACTGGTCCGCATCCCGTCACTGCCATGATGTAGCGTCCTTCACGCAACGGTGGCGATGTCAAAGACTCGTGGGTCAGCACAAAACCAATCACGGCCAACAGAAGCACGAACAGAAGGATGCCAAAGACAATCAGCGCATCGTCAACACTGCACTTGTAGCCTCTCAGACGAGTCAATAGTGAGACGGGTCGATTTTGCTCCTCCTCCGCAGCGGCTATTTTTTCCTCCGCCGCCAGTTTCTCATCCTTGAGCTCGCCCTTTAGCTCCTCGGTACCGTTTGTCTTAACGGGAGCCCGGTCGACCGTGTCCTGATCCTTGAGGGAATCATCTAAGGTCTCCATCGAGGCTAGACCGGCCTTGCCCAAACCCAGCTCCACATCATCGTCATTCTTGTTTTTGCGCAACTTGTTAGCAATTGGCAGCTTAATGGCGTTCAGGAGTCCACGCTTTGTTGGTGCATCGGAGGCATCATCACCGGGAGTAGCTTCAGCAGTTGCTTCTGTAAACAATAATATAAATTAGTTATAGCTTAATCCCAGAGAGATAATCTCATATTTACTAACCAGACTTGGCATCGGCATCACCGTTGACCAGCTGCTTCTTTTCCTTCTCGGCGGATGGTTTGCGGGTAAACAAGTTACGCAAGCGTTCTCCCAGACCTGGACGCGACTTCTGCTCATCCTTGCCAGAGCCTGTGGCTGCATCTCCATTTGCTTCCTTATCTTTTTCATCCTCCTTTTCCTTTTCTAGCAGCTCGCCCTCGGCGCCATCACCTTCCGCCTTGGGTTTGTTCTTCATGAAAAAGCCGGGCAGCTTGAGACCTCCGATCGGGATCTTCTTGGGCTTAACCTCGCGCTCCTCCTTGCTGATCTTCTTGTCATCACCGCCATCGGGTTTTGTACCGTTTTCGGCGGGAATATCGATAATCTCTTCACCATTTCCCGATTTGGGCTTCTCTAGTTCAGCAACATCGATTTTTCTCTCCTCTACAGGTGAGGATTTCTTTGCTGCATTGGGAGATGAGGGCTTCGAAGTTTGCGGACTTGGTGTCTTCTCCTTGCAATCTTCTTTTTTGTCAAGCATTTTGTCGGTTTCCTTGGGCTCCTCGAGCGACTCTTGCTGGGCCGCTGTCGTCTCAGTGGGCGGGGTTTCCTTCTCTTCGAGTTCGCCCATATTGAAGATGACTCACGAACGTTTAGAGAACTCTGCGAAAATTCTGAAAAAAAAATAGTTTCTTAGTTAATGTTTTGGATTACGAAGTCCTTTGTAGGACAAACCTTGACTTAGTTAAAAAAAAATAACTAGGTTACACTTTGGCTTTGGTTTTTTAGTGACGTATTTTTAGGGATCTACGATCTAGGATCTATCACGATCGCTGGCTGAAATGCTTCTAGCTAGCGATTTCAGCTGCACACGGTTTTTATACTGCTCTGGTGAAAATTCCTGACCTAAGGATAAGCAGCTGATCCGGGCAAATGTCATAGCCGGCTGCCAAGCTCTTCCTTTGTCCTTGCACAATTACTTGAGGGTTTTCCATTCCCTCTCTCTCTCTCCTCTCTACCTGAACTTATAGTTGAAAATCCTACCTGGAAAATGGGAATCTACTCAGGTAGCCGTGGAAAATTTGCTCGTATTTCCCTCAGCATATCCTGGCAGCATGGCATTTGGTTTCGGGGCGGGAAGACCGCAAATTTATTAAGAGAGCAGAACCAGCTGCATGCCGATCAGTTTTTGATCCAATCCCCGTACCGGATCGCTTCCTTCTTAGGCATTTATTTAGTTTTCTTCTTTTCCCTTTTTGGTACGTGCGCCTTGTCGCTTTTCACACGTCCCACGTTCTCCGAAAAACATTTTTAATTAGCGAAAAACTATAAAATCAACGTGGAAAGCATCCAAGGACATTCGACGCGACCTTTTGCATCATTATGCCTGGAACGCCGCTCGCAGCGGGATTGCAGTAGCAAATCACGTCCAGGCTAATTGACCGCACCAGAAAGTGCCAGAAGTCATGAGAATTTTCTTTTTTAAACACCTCAAACGTTGACTTTGCCTGACTCTTTTAATGAGCCGGACATTAGAATGACATTAGTCGAGCGACAAGTCAAATACGTGATCATTTAAAAAAGATTTGGGTTTCTTTTTAGTCAAAATAACTCTGAGCTGAAATATTTTTAAGGATTTCAGGCAGACTAAAATTATCTAAATGGGCATACGACTTTCTAATTTCTAATAATGTATATAATAAAACTTTTTTCTATAAACCGTCTAAATATTATTTACAGAATAAAATTCATCATCATTTTAATTTATTTTGTAATACATAAATTCAAATATCAATATAATTTTCGTCTCATTTGACCCACTAAACTTATCTCAATAGTTTTTTAAGATGCACTTCATGTCCAGTGGACTGTTTTCCCCCATTATTTCCCCATTGGGAGCATTACAAGTCCATTACTTGCACGCATGAAACCCAAAACCCAAGCCAAAAGAGACGACGACATGGAAGATATGGAAAGAAACGAAAAACGATGCCAAGTCTCGACCTCTGTCATGTAAATCAACCGAAATTCCATTAAAATGTGAACTTAAAGTTCAAATTGCGTTGCGTGCCATAATCTCTCATCATTATCGGTTCATTCTCTAAGTTTTCCCGCCTTCGAGCGATTTGGTCAACTGGAAGAGTGACACTGCAGAGGGAAAATACAAAATGAAAATGTAGAAAAATCGAAAGCAACTCGACAAAGTTGCGTATCGAAAGTGAAAAGAGTGTCACACATGGTTCTGGAAAGCAAAAAAGAGGGACGTGGGGAATGAGTTGGGTTGAAACAACGCGTCACATTGCAATCCAATTGAATCGGATTTCAGAGTATTACCACGACTGGCGGGAAAGGGCAGAGATAAGTTTCTGGCCGTAGTGTTGTGGACGAAGTCATGGGGCCAGAGGCATATAAGCCTCCTTGTTGTTCTTGCCGCTGTCTACAGTATATAGTACTCGTTCTATTCCCTTCTCTAAACAGAAGCAGGTCAAAGTAATTACAGTTCACTGGAAGTGGAGTATCTTCGGCCACTATCTCGAATGTGCATCTTTATAGAGCGTACTAAAAATCTTGACAATATGTCTATAAAACTTAAGATTTGGTTTTAACTCATTCTGGTAGCATAGAATTAAATCTTTTTCTGTCTTACTTTATACTGAAAGTTTTTATAGAGTGGCCAATAAAAGTTTATGTTTCGGAAGAATATACATATGTAACTATTTGTTAGTGAGTCATTCCTTAAGAGCAGTTTTTGAACTTTTCACTTAATTTATTTCAAAAAAATTCCTGAATATAATGTTCTTCCTAAACTTACTGTCCAAACATTATTAATTATTAGAAGCTAAATTAAAATATAGCAAAAACTTGACATTTATTTATAGAGCTCTACGCAGACACATTCCTCACAACGATCATTGTTAATTAGGCGAGAAATGTCTGTGGAAATATAATTTTTTCAGTGGGGGTCGAACAAACAGAGTTGACGCACCCAAAACGCAATGAAAAGCGCAAAAAAGAAGGAAAATGGTTCCATGTCGTCAAGTCACGCAGTCCGTCACTTGTAACGCCCCTCAACCTTCTTTTTCCCTTCGATTCTTTGCGGCATATGTGACTGGGCTGTAATTGGTCTTGGCTCGTAAATTAAATCAAATTCGAAACTTGCGTTTGACATGCCATTCGACTTCCTTCTCATAGCCACTCCCCCCAACCCTGCTTCCTTTTTTTATTATCCCTGAATTTCACTCCACTCTTTGGTTTTTTTTAGTGCTACACATGGAAATTGCCGTTAAAACATAAAAAAATGACCACAACATGTTGAGGGATACGACAACTTGGAAAGTTGTACAGTGGTATAAGGTTGAAGGAAAAACCACAGAACAAACATTATAACTCGACGACTTAGATGTTTGATATAAAGTTTTATATTTAATATTTCACATATAAATAAAAAATTGTTGAACTCATTCCAGGAACAATAGAAATAAAGCTCTAAGTTTGACTTAAAGTTCCTTTTATTGTATACTTTATCCCTCGAACTTCTAGAAATCATACTAAACTATCCTGCAACATGACCAAACAACAAATCCCCCCAATTAACCACCAAATAAACCCTTGTAGATCCCAACTTAAGCGCAACAAATAAATTCTGGTGAAATGTCTAGTATCTCGAAACATGTCAAGAAACACTTTGAAATGCATAAAAATGCAATTGCTTTAGGCCATTTATTCTGCTCGAGGGAGTGAGTAACAGAGTCGTGTGGAAAAGGAAATTACAGTTGGGGGAGATAACTACTAGTCATGAGCGGGAAAGCGACAACGGGTGAAAAGTTTGCGACGCAAACTGCTGCTAAAGACGCAACCTGTGTCTCTGTTGGTATTATTCGTTCTTTTTTGTATTATATGTGTTACTTTTTGAGTAGAAAAGTATATATTATTTAATAAAAGTTATAAATGATTATAATTTAAAATATTATTATTATTATTCCCAAGCTAAAATTTAAAAAATACAATGTCAATACCACGTAACTGCTTAAAGGATATAAAGTATTCGAATACTACTGTAAAATATTTGTACCTTAGCTTTTGTCCAACTAACGGCAGCGAAGCATGAAACGAAAACAGTGCGAAGGAAATGACAAAAAGAGGGGGACGAAATAAAGGGGAAAGAGAAGTTAGTGGTAGAAAAAACAGTAGTTGGGGGAGGAGTGTGGGAGGGCTAACCGATCTGCGTCCTGTTATTATTATTTATTACGTTTCCTGTTGCCTTCCTATCTCTCCTTTACACACTCTATCCCTTTTTACCACCCGTTTTGACTTGTGGCCAACTAAAATTGCTGCCGCCCACCACCAGATGGCGTCTTGATCATTTGTCGTGCGCGTGCGAAAAGGCAGTAAAAAGTGTGAGCGAGATGCCGTAAGGTGGATAATAAAAAATAAAAAAGGACACACTATTTTGACATGCACTTTTCATAGTGTTTTTGTGTGCGTGGGCGGTGTTTATGCTCAATTTAACAGGGAATTTGAACAATTTCAGGACACTCTGAAGCCCGCAAATTAAGATCTGCTGATAAGAATAAGCGCTTAAGCGCTGCAACTCCTGTTTATAATTATGTATTTGTACGAGGAAATTTGTCTAGACAGTCTAAACAACAATTGGATTTAATTGCAATGCATTTCTGTTTGGCCAATACACAGGGAAAAACAAAACTAACATAAAAGGTTTATATTATATTAATTTTTGAATCATAAAGCTTGTTCCATTTTATTTAATTTTATAAACCTTAAATAAGTATAGAGTTCATTAAAACTCTGTCTCTAAATACTTTATTTGAATTTTTAGATAAACTTAAACCTTTTTACTATTGAATTGCACTTTCCAGTGCACTCATTTTCCCAACTAAGAGCACCTGCAATCAGCGATTTAGATTCAATAACCTCAGGCTAAATAATTTTTCAATTTGCGCCTCCAATTTCCATGACGGAAAAGAGGCAGACAACGAACGACGAGGGAAATCGCAAAACTTCTAACGAAGTCAATTTGTTATCCGGACGCCATGCTAATGGACTCCTGGTGGAGATTGGGCCTCCTCCTTCTGGTTACAAAATGCCCTCGGGTCATTTTAAAATTAACTTTTAATATTCTGATCTAACGATTTATCATGCCGTGTTGTGGATTTTGGTTCAAGTTACTTAATTTCATGGCAATTTATTGAAGTTGGCCAAGTGGGAGAATGGAAAATGATGAGCCACATATTCGCCAGGCAATCAAAAGAAGGGTGATTAATGAACAGAACTGACACGTGTTCTAAAAACATTGCGGAAGGGGTCAGTGAAATGAAGGCGGAGATGGGTTCACTCGAGCATGGGTTACACTAAGAAAAACAATGATTATTTAGGAAACGAATGAATTCATAAAGAATAGTTGTTACACCTTAGAAATCTTTTGTTATGAAGAGTTTCTAGTCCTATTATAAACCCATATAAGAAACATAGATACTCAAAACATTATTCAGAAAGATTTAAATTTGTTTTCAGTGCACTAGAGTCGGAGAAACCAAAAACCGCAAAACCCAAAGGTTTATGCACGTGCGATGTGAATTCTCAGTGGTCTCCCCTCTTTATATTTTGATGAATAATAATCTCCTGGGGCAGGTAGAGAGCGGAAATTGGTAAACGAGCAACGGAGAGTCCCAAAACCTCAAAGGATCTGCGGAAGGCGCCTAGATCCAGATCCAGGACGAGGGGATTGGTGTAGCACACAACAACAAAAAACACAATTGGGAGTGGGAAGAGCAAACAAAATGGGAACAAGATTTCCACTTCAAACAGGGCATTTTTATGAATTTGTAATTACACTCGAGGGACAAACAGCTCTTGAAGATATGGATGGGATAACCTTGAGATGTGTTGGTTTTTAAATGTTTGTTGTTACCCTGTTCCCTCGAGTTTTCTGGGGTATACTTTTTGCTTTTTAAATACATTCAAAATTTAAAATATTCTTCTGTAAAATGTAAATGAGTTGATGGTATCAAGAATCTCATAGATAAACGGAATTATACAGTTTCTAACATATTTTTCAGTGTCAAGAGATTTTATTACTAAGTATCCATAAAATCAGGATATTATCTAATTCGGTAAAAAGTATTAAGAATAAGCTAAATAATTCAGCTCCTTTAAAACAATGAGTATCTTGATGTCTACACCTTAGAACCTTTGTGTCTACTCAACTTATAACTGCCCCTCTCCGTATGTCATCTCATTTTATTGCACATTTTTTCTAGCCCGACGTTTCTTTTCCAGTCAGATAAGCAAAGATTTCCTTGATGATAAGAACCCTGAGAGTTCCTCGAAGCAAAACTCCTTGCAAGGCAATTCAAATTGTCAACGGAAAATATTTATGATATGCACCAGAGTTCCCCGTAACCCTCATTAGTCAATTGTCAGCAGCTCTTGAGGGGTTCGGATTTTTTTGGGATGCTAGCCCAGCAGTACTTGACTTTCAAGTTCCTAGTGCTGATGGATTTACAATTTCCTAAATGAAAACTGCATTTTTGTTTAAACTGTTTGACCATGAACTCCACATCTACGAACGACGGATTGTTTATCTTTGAGAGCGAGACAAAGTGTTGAAAACTGTGTTTGATATTCTTCCAGCATTTTCCTTGTTGTGTTTTTTCTTAATTGCTGTTTACTTTTCAAGTGAAAGCGGCCAAACTTACATAAGGAACAACAACAATTTCAAATTGAATTGTAAAGAAAACTTTTTGATTACACATACATTTTGGGGTAAAGTGAGAAAATGAGATACTATGGAAAGCAGACTCATCACCAGGGCTGTCGGCTTTTGTCTTTTGAAAAAAACTTGGCAAAACAATGAGGGAAGTTGGAGTGAAAAGTCAAGGGGGAGTTGCCTCAATAAATCTCTTTCCGAATGCAAATGTTGCGTCAGCCGGGCATCTTCACGTCTCTTTTTTTTGTGTGCCTCTGTTTGGCTTTGTTGATGTTTTCCTTACTTTTTAGTTGCACGGTTCCCCGGAAGTCTCTTTCTAGAGCGAATCGAAAAGTAGCAGCTGCCAACTGGAACTTTCTCTGAAGATCCCGGGAGTTTTGTGATCGTTTTTTCCCTACGCCTATTAATTCATCATTGAATTATTGCCTCTTTTCCTGGTATCCCTTCAACGATTTCCTTTTCCATTTGTTTACTGAATCACTTTTTGGGGATTAATTCTAGCTGGCGTCTGCCTGTGCATACAAATGATCCAAAAGGGTCGGCCTATTTTTGGATCTACTCCATCCCCAAGAATCTTCCTCTGAATGTTGATGGATTGAAAAATCTGAGGATTAGCACACATTATGTTTATGAAATGTTCAAAAGGATTTGTCAGGCCTGTGATTTATGTCAAATGGTTATGTTTTCCCAAGACGCAAGCCATTAGAAGGCTGGAAAATGTGGAATCAAAAGGGGAAAGAGCTGTCTCTGATCATTGACACGAGCCATTAGACCCCAAGGCGCATACGATGATGATGATGATGATGGGTGTGCGATGTTACGGAGGATTATATCAATGAATCGTGAAGCCCCATTAATCTTATTAAGGGCCCCCAAATAAAATGTTTTCCTGGAGACGCCATTTAAATTGTTTTGGTAAGATGTTTCTTCGGTAATTAGGGATTGTGGAGGATTATGATTTAATTTCATGACATTAGACGTCATTAATAAAGATTAAAGCTTAGAAAATTCATTTGAGTTGTTTGGGATATTTTAATATTGCGCTATATTAATAAAGTATTCGGCGAGATTGTGGTTTCCGGCTGATAAAGGTTTTGCAAGCACATTTTTTATAAGTAAATTTACAAATTCCTAAAAACTAGATATTGAGTGCTGAACTTAAAGGAATGTAGATTCATTTTTACGCTGTTAAAATATAAATAAGAATATTTTGATTGATCGGAAATTTATAAAATTTTACAATCTCGCATTATTATGTTTACATTTTTCACATAATCAAATATTAACAAATTATTAAAAAACTTTCAAAAACGATGTTTTCCTTGGCATACGGAATGTTAGTATCCATTTAGATATCTTTGTTTACTCATCTGCCATTCCTTTTTTTAATTCCCAGAGGTCCTTTATTACGAATTGTGATTCTTACCTGATGTTCAATACACGCAAACACAGAATAATAAGTGTGTTGCTGTGCTTTGTTTTTTATTGCGATGCTGTTGAAATGTGGCAATTGGGAATAATCCTTCAGTCCGTGGAAACAGCGGGTGGCTTAAAAGAATGCGAAGTCCTTCCTCCAGGACACTTAGGTGTGTATAACAAACGTACAAATTTTTCTTTTTGATTTATTGCGGTTTTTCTTTCATCCGCTCTTTCGGCACAGAGCAAAACAAAATGCACAAAAATAGTTGCGATGTTTTTTTTTTATGTTAATATATTATTTTCACTAAATATAAAACTTTCACAATAGGAATATTGAAATTTATTCCTTTTTTGCGCCGATTTTGATTTTGTTTTCTTTCAAGTCGCGTCTGTTTGGCGAGGGTATGTGTTTGTGTGTCGCTGTGTGTTTGTGTTGCGGAAAAGAGGAAAAAGCGTGCGCCGTCCAAGAGAGTGTGGCTCTAACTGACGCTGCCTCGACTTCCACAGCCGGCAGTGGAAGAAGAGTCGGACTAACCACTGAAAACAAACTCTCTCTTATTGGCACTCTCGTGCTCTCATCTTGGAAAGAGGGGAAGGATGAGTTCCATTCATGATTCCATAAATATCAACACATTTGACATAGAAGAAAGAACATGTTTTACCTTTAAACTACATTTACCGTTTTCCCTTAGTTTATAAATCGTTTTTGAGAAAAAATGTTGATTCCCTGACTGTTTTTAGCATTTTTACTGACAAAAAATAAAATTGTCGAAAAGTTGTTTGTCTGAAAAATTAAGTTTAAAAATCGTTAGTAAAATAAAAGTAAATAAATGTAAAATACTAATCTTTAAATACTTTATTTTCTTGCAACATATCCATTTAAATTTTCCATTCAACTGCCTCACTGTGCACTGGAAGCCACTGTCTGTTTATGCTCCTGCTCTCAGTTTCTCTCTCTCGTAAAACAGCCGGCTTGGGAAGTATTAATTGGAAAGTGGAGAGGGGCAAGCACCCTCATAGGGGTGGCTGGAAAGTGGCAAGAGCAGCAGACTCTCTCCTGCACTCTCTCCAAGTGATGCTCTCTGTCTCTCACTCTCAGCATGCATTGCTTTGTTTTCCTGTACAGTAAGTGCCAAATATTCTATGGTGTTTTTCAAAGGTATTGTAATTTTCGAAAGGTTTCGTGATGCATAAAATAAGATCTTTTGTTGTTCCAAGCCTAAGCAATAGGTGGCAGTGCAATGAAAAAAATATTTTAATATAAATAACAAATTAATGTTAAAGCATTGGTTTTTAGACTTTATGGTAAACTTATGATTGTGAAATATTGTTTAATGTTTTAGTCATTTCATGGGTTTAGAAATATTTTATAAGCAAAGTCCTCTAAGAAAGTATTTTATTATTCACCCCTCTTAATAAGTTTCTGGTTATATTATCCTTTCCCTAAAAAGAAGACAGGAAACAAAAGGAAACCGGCTGCTAGAAGTTTGTTGATAGGATATTTTAGGTTTGAGTTAAGGTTCTTATTTTGGTTTCAAAAACTCGTTTTCGAATGCGCATCAATTGGCAAGTGTTGAAGCGCAGTTTAGGTCGCTGAGACATCTGGCCTGGGTTTGTAGGGAAATTCCAAGTCCTGATGCGTCATTACAGCACTAACCCTTGCCAAACCCCTTCTCAACACCCCTTTTTTGGCATTCGGTTTCATATCCCTACCCTTGAGAAAATCCACTTCTTTTGGGAGGTAAACAAAGTATGATTATTCTTCATGTCAGCTTTTGCGCAATGGAAATGGTGATGGGGATTTCTTTCGATCTGTCTACTGATCTAATAATCGGCTTGTATAGAAAGTTAATAATTAATTGACCAGTAAAATAATTTTTAATCTGAATTAAATATTAGTGCTATCAATATACTTACTTAATATTCTTATTGAACTTGGGCCAGTTGAATGATTAGAGCAGAAGCCATGACGACACGTGCTAGGAATGGATTAGTGGCCGTTTCTATATGCCTTCTACAAATAGTACCCCTTCCAATGGTACTACCCTCTACCCACATGTCAACAACTTTCACGCCCCGAACTATGAGGGTTCCCTATTTCATTGTGGAGCTACTGAAGCATTTCATTAGACATGATGTTAGGTGACATCTGCTACCGAAAAACAGAAGAAATATTATAGGAAAGAAAAGAATATAAAGGTACGGCAAGCTCGAGTTACGTTAGAGTTTGACGCATGCCTGTCACGTCGTGGGGAAGGATCATAAAATGATCGCATCGGATCATTATCATGATTGCAAATGGTAACGAGGAAACCCGCAAAATGTGGGACGCACAAGGAAGGAAGTCGGAGGAATGAACACATGTTCCTGTCTTGTTTTGGGCTGTGTGGGTTGATGTTCGGATGGAATAATTAACAAGTTTAATTTAAATTTCAACCGGAAGCGGCTGAAACCGAAGACTAAGAAGTTTTGGCGGAGAGAGAGTTCTCCTCAAAAAATCCCCCACGATATGTAATTCAATCAACCAACGATTCGGTTTCAATATTCCGAATTAAACCCCGAAAAAGCCGCTTAATGTTTGAGCTCAATTATATGGCTTTTGTTGTGGGCTGCTCCTCTTCTCCCCACCCACCTTTCAACCCATAAACGCCTCAAAGTCGACTACAAATAGCGAACAAGGAAGTTGCACATAAAATTCGTCTTGTTTCGAGGCCCATTGCAAATTATGTTCGGACATAAAAAAAGGAAACTTTTGTGGACTACCCACTACTCTGAACCACTGTTAACCACCCACTTGGCCTGAGAGGGGGTGGGCAACCACAAAAGTTACTGTTTTATTTACCCAACGAAACAACGGCAAAGGGCGAGGCCTCAGTTACAGGATGAGGATTTTGACTCTGGGATGCGGGACATGTGGCGAACAACAGGCGCAGCAAGTGTTAAGGTGGTGTTGTGGCGCCCCTTAATGGAATCGCTTCCCCAGACTCGACTTGCCTGCCCAGATAAAACATGAAACGCTTTTAAGTGTTCCTCGCAACTGAGGTTAAACACCTCAAAAGGCGACTCACTGCGTCTGGAAAAGAGCTAAGAGTGGGTGGAGTTTCAGGGTTTTCCCCTGGGCAACTATGTTGCCAGAATTTTGGTCGTGGGATGATCAAATTAAGTTGAAGCTGGAGTTCAAAAACAAGTTATGATTAAATTTTGGCAAAGGAAGGATTTCGGGTGTAAATGTACAACAAGTTCAGGTTAATTAAACTTTTGGTCAAAAAGATGGGCTAACGATTTTTGGAAAATATCTTTAAAAATGAGTAACTAATTACAAATGTTGCTTTTGAAATTAATTATTTATTTAATAGCTTAAAACCTTCATAGGCAATATGTTTAAAAGTTCTAAAAGCTAAACAAAAATCCAAACGCAACGTGAAAGAGATTTCTCTTGGGATTTCTTACCCGCAACCTTAGGCCAATACTAAAAAGTAATATTGCCCATTTCAAACTCCTCCATAACTAGAACCTCTGCCTTTCCCAGCTGAATTTTCCCCCTGCGGCACAATCAATTAAGAAAACCAATTCGCCTTAAGATGACTAAACTCTCCAAGGGTCAATGTGTCCCATTCACCGGGCAATCATAACAGACCATTGATACTTTCGAGATGCTGTGACAATGTGGAACCCACAGCCACAAGAGGAAGATGTACAAAAGATGAAAACTGAAATGCACAAATGGGCATTGAAATTGAAAACAGAGTCTTTAGTAATCTTCAGTGACACAATAAAGTACAAAAAAAAGAAAAGTGAAGCGGCAGCAGAATTCAAAAGGGAAAATGTTCCCCTAGAAGAGATGCGGCCTCTGAGTGCGTGAGTCAAGTAAGTGGAAATAATCGCAGACAATAGAAGAAGCATGGGGAACTCCACTCCTACTGCAGTTGCATCTTCAGCCTTAGCTGCAGCTACTTCTCAGATACTTCTACTGGCATCCGAAGTGCGAAGTCAAATTGACAATCCCAGGCAGCTCGAGCTGCAGTGTGCATTAAGTCAGCGTTGCAGAGTCTGGACTTTTTAAAGTGTCTTAGTCTCCGTCCTTAGTCTTTACTTTAAAGGCAGAGCTGGATTAACACTTACAACTGTCGGTGTGACAGTGGCAGAATTCATCAAAATAAACTTATACTTAAACATCAAATTAACGACATTTTATCTCTCAGCATAAAAGCTAAGAAAATGTACAAAAAAGTTCAACAAGATTGCAAATAGTTTACATAAATTCAAGTTTATACGTAATAGTAATCTAGATATTTAGAAAATTGGCTAATTTATCCCAACCACTGTGCTGCAGTCGAAGAAATGGGGAGAGCCTGACATTGACATGCTTGCAGCAGAAGGACCGAAGATAGAAGCTCCCAGTGGCAAAAGCAGCTGCCCCTCATAAAAAGCGGGGTGCAGAGATCCCAGTTCATGCCCCGTGTGGGCGACCGTGCGATATCATATACGAGTACTGACGAGATTGGAACTCAAAACCGGGATGGGATGGAGGCGACTTTTGTTGGGGGCCCTGCCCTGGCCAAGCTCTATTAATATCCGACTTCCTATAGGAATTGTACACAATTTGGTGAATGCGTAAATTGTATGTGAAAGGAAAGTTGACTTTAATGCGTCATAATTGATGCACAATGCGGAGGGCAAGGCGAGATGGCTTGATTTGATTAACGCAGAATGTAGCTCACAGATATAACAGCTCTTGAATATGTATCTCTACCTACAGATGGCAATTGAAACTTTGACTTACTGCCAAACTATTGATTTTCGTGGCATCTGCAGTTAGTAATTGTGTGGGGGCGTTTGACTTTGCCATCGCTTTCAAGGAAGCCCTTCAAAGTTCTTTTTGCCTTATTTTTACCATCACAATTATCCGCTTAAAATGCCAAAGCGGGCCAAAGCAGCAATGGGCAAAGTATCTTTAAGATGCAATTCAGTTTCAGGGAAACTCGATGCCGTCTGATTTGACATAATTGAGCCCTGTCGCTAGGCCATCGAGAAATAAATTTTCAATTAAACGCCCATCAACCGATCCGACAGCTAGCTCATATATACAATTGGTTTATCTCACAGTTACCAAGAGGCTGTGCATCGCCCTAATGAAGATGATGCAGCGCATTTTGTTGGCTGCACGATTCGAAATTAAGACAAAGTCAAGCCAGATGGACAAATGACCAGAAGATGCAATAAGTATCTGACGGATTCCTCGACAGCTGCCATTGAATTAAAAGAAGAAGAAGTAGAAACGATAAAGATAAGGAGGCAAAGTAAGAGAGCAGCGCGTGCCATTGAACTTTGTGGTCAAAAAAAGATACTTTTTGTAACTGATGAGTAGTTGGGCATTGCCAAAGATGTAAGATACTTATATAAGGAAAATCTATACCCACCTCTCATTTCCAATAAGTGTCTCTTGAAAATCACAGAGAAAAATGCTATTTCTATTTTGACAGTTGCTCCTT